AATTTTACAACATGTTAATTCTATTACCAACGTCATCACTCCTACACCTGTAGCTAGACACATTAACAATTTTCATGAAGGCAAAGTTGAAAACTTAAGGTTTCAGGCAATTGAAAGATTATTACCTAATCCAAGAAAAGGTAATTTCAACAGAATTTTATTGCAAAAAGAATCCAAATTGATCTATCTCTTTAAGACTCTGACCCCATTGGGACTTAATGACGAGTTTAATAATACCGCATTTATTAATTAATTACAAGCACCTTAGGTTATCACAGTTGATTTGTTTGTATTGATTTTATTATATTTTCTCTATCACATTAGGTATTTTGTTCAGTTATAGGAATTTTTCTTTCAACCTATTTTCATTATTATTTTGTTATTGACCTTAATCTACATGGGATCTCCCAACCGCTATAATATTCTTTGAATATTAATGATTCACTATACAGGGAGTGCAGAATTATTAGGCAAGTTGTATTTTTGAGGATTAATTTTATTATTGAACAACAACCATGTTCTCAATGAACCCAAAAAACTCATTAATATCAAAGCTGAATATTTTTGGAAGTAGTTTTTAGTTTGTTTTTAGTTATAGCTATGTTAGGGGGATATCTGTGTGTGCAGGTGACTATTACTGTGCATAATTATTAGGCAACTTAACAAAAAACAAATATATACCCATTTCAATTATTTATTATTACCAGTGAAACCAATATAACATCTTAACATTCACAAATATACATTTCTGACATTCACAAAACAAAACAAAAACAAATCAGTGACCAATATAGCCACCTTTCTTTGCAAGGACACTCAAAAGCCTGCCATCCATGGATTCTGTCAGTGTTTTGATCTGTTCACCATCAACATTGCGTGCAGCAGCAACCACAACCTCCCAGACACTGTTCAGAGAGGTGTACTGTTTTCCCTCCTTGTAAATCTCACATTTGATGATGGACCACATGTTCTCAATGGGGTTCAGATCAGGTGAACAAGGAGGCCATGTCATTAGATTTTCTTCTTTTATACCCTTTCTTGCCAGCCACGCTGTGGAGTACTTGGACGCGTGTGATGGAGCATTGTCCTGCATGAAAATCATGTTTTCTTGAAGGATGCAGACTTCTTCCTGTACCACTGCTTGAAGAAGGTGTCTTCCAGGAACTGGCAGTAGGACTGGGAGTTGAGCTTGACTCCATCCTCAACCCGAAAAGGCCCCACAAGCTCATCTTTGATGATACCAGCCCAAACCAGTACTCCACCTCCACCTTGCTGGCGTCTGAGTCGGACTGGAGCTCTCTGCCCTTTACCAATCCAGCCACAGGCCCATCCATCTGGCCCATCAAGACTCACTCTCATTTCATCAGTCCATAAAACCTTAGAAAAATCAGTCTTGAGATATTTCTTGGCCCAGTCTTGACGTTTCAGCTTGTGTGTCTTGTTCAGTGGTGGTCGTCTTTCAGCCTTTCTTACCTTGGCCATGTCTCTGAGTATTGCACACCTTGTGCTTTTGGGCACTCCAGTGATGTTGCAGCTCTGAAATATGGCCAAACTGGTGGCAAGTGGCATCGTGGCAGCTGCACGCTTGACTTTTCTCAGTTCATGGGCGGTTATTTTGCGCCTTGGTTTTTCCACACGCTTCTTGCGACCCTGTTGACTATTTTGAATGAAACGCTTGATTGTTCGATGATCACGCTTCAGAAGCTTTGCAATTTTAAAAGTGCTGCATCCCTCTGCAAGATATCTCACTATTTTTGACTTTTCTGAGCCTGTCAAGTCCTTCTTTTGACCCATTTTGCCAAAGGAAAGGAAGTTGCCTAATAATTATGCACACCTGATATAGGGTGTTGATGTCATTAGACCACACACCTTCTCATTACAGAGATGCACATCACCTAATATGCTTAATTGGTAGTAGGCTTTCGAGCCTATACAGCTTGGAGTAAGACAACATGCATAAAGAGGATGATGTGGTCAAAATACTCATTTGCCTAATAATTCTGCACTCCCTGTACACATTTACTATATTTGGAGTAACGTGGATCATTATAGTTAATACAATTCTTGTCATTAATGGACTGAGTAGAAGATTCTATTAAAGGACCACTATAGTGCCAGGAAAACATACTCGTTTTCCTGGCACTATAGTGCCCTGAGGGTGCCCCCACCCTCAGGGTCCCCCTCCCGCCCGGCTCTGGAAGGGGGAAAGGGGTTAAAACTTACCTTTTCCAGCTGGGCTGGGAGCTCTCCTCCTCGATCCTCCTCTTCTCCTCGTCGGCTGAATGCGCGCGCGCAATAGCTCTTGGCGCACATTCAGCCGGTCACATAGGAAAGCATTCATAATGCTTTCCTATGGACGCTGGCGTGCTCTCACTGTGAAAATCACAGTGAGAAGCACGCAAGCGCCTCTAGTGGCTGTCGAAGAGACAGCCACTAGAGGAAATAGGGGAAGGCTTAACCCATTCACAAACATAGCAGTTTCTCTGAAACTGCTATGTTTATGAAAAAATGGGTTAACCCTAGCTGGACCTGGCACCCAGACCACTTCATTAAGCTGAAGTGGTCTGGGTGCCTAGAGTGGTCCTTTAATGTTAATTTTGGATACTTAGATCCCTCTGATGCAAAATGTATCCATATAACTATGTTATTTCCTGTTAACTATTTTGAACATAACTAAAACATACTTTGATTTTAATCATCAGTTTACAACAGCTATGTAGGAATATAAATCTTAGTTCGTTATAACTTATTATAGTTATGGACCTTTAACAAAACGCTTTTCCTACCTATTTGAGTGTGCCGAGCCACCGTAGCTCGGCATGTCAGTCCATGACATCACTACAGCGGTTTATCCAATGAGGACGTCGAGCGGGGTATTTAAACTTACCCTGTCTGCGGAGTTAGTTCCCCCTGATGAGCCTGTGGGGAAACGCGCGTCGGGGCTCTTGACATTAGGTCCGTTTTGGTGTTAGACATTTGTGGGCTATCTTGCATTCTAATTATCACGTTTAATATTGTTACACCTGGGACCCTCTTTCTCTGGAACCAGTTCAGTAGTTTAGTTTAGCTTACTCTCTATTACAGATAGGTGCCCACGAAGGCACAGCTTAGGGCACTATCACGCTTTTTTGTGTATATTGTCCTACTTCCAGGATTATCCTTGCATTTACCCATTTTTCAGCATAGTTAGCTAAGCTCTTTGTATTTTACTAGACAGGTGCCCTTGAAGGCACAGATTAGGACCTCCCCCCCCCTTTTTTGCTACCATACTTCTATATACTTTATCGTTAAATTGGGGATTTATTTGTATCTCTTCTGGTTTCCAGTGGGGCATTAACCCATACAGTTACATTTATGAGTTATATGATTTGGTGTATTGGTTTACCTCTGCATGTCAGTAAAGCAACATTGCTATACATTTGGTCATCCTTTTCCTTAGACATATAGCTACTTAGTCTAGCTTTTTGTCATTTTATTTTTGCTACTTTGTACATCTGATATCACGATAGTGACAAGTAGCATTTACTGGTACTCTATTACATACACCAGGCTTTGACATGTAGCTACTTAGTATAGTTTTTTGCCATTTACATTTGCTACTTTGTACATCTGACATCACGATACTGTCAAGTAACATTTACTGTTACTTCATTACATACACCGTGCAGTTATTTTCATTATCATTTTTTGTTTTGTTATTATTTTTTTCTGGGGGTCTTATCGATTATTAACCCTTATTGGGTTCTTGTCCGGTTCTTTGTACATTTATTTTATTTTACTCCTTTCCTTGTTTGTACATATTTCTTATTTAGGTTACATCACTGGATCACATTTGCTGTCTCGATTATCCACTATTGAGACAGTAGTGATCAGTGATTTAGTATGTGTGTGTGATCGTTTTAGGTTTATTAATAAAGTATTTTGTCTAAATCTGCTGTTTAGATTAATTTGGGACAGATTACTCTCTTTTTTGTTTTCATTTATTACTCTAGGGTTACCCCCTTATCTGTCCATTATTGTATATTTTTGGGGATTCTTATTTGGGCCAATCTTTCAATTCCTAGATCTGTTTTTTTTTTTTTTGTTACTGTTCTGTGAATAAAAATCAACATTTAGAGACTGTCTCTTAACCATCAATCATATTTTTTCCCATTAATTATCTTTTTTTTTGTTTTTAAATGTGGGTGTCTAGGCAGAATTCTGAATCACAAAACTGTTCATCTAACGTCTGTTTCATGATTCAGTGATTTGGCACTTTGGAGTTACGGAATTTGGATGACACCGCGATTACCAAAAATTAAGATGCATTATAATTCATTTGAAATTGAATGTCAGTAGGGTGGTGATTAGACTCTTCTAAAAACAATGCAACTATTACTTTGTCCAAATCAAAAATATGGAAAATATTTAAGAAACTTAATACAGGTTATGTGCAAATAAATGTAAAATGTAAAGACTTACGATGCAAAATGGCATGATTACATTTTTTCCAATGTTTGTGTAGTCAATGCATACATGTTTCTGCACAACCAAAGCATTGCACCTTCAGGAATGCTAAAGATAATTTATAAAGAAATGAAAATGAAAATAATATGGCAAGTAATGCATTAAAAGAGAACTTGGCAAACGACCAAATACATACACAAAATGTACTAAAGCATAATAGAACACTTAGGTACATTTTTCTGTTGGATAATGACATGTGTGACAAAATGGAAGTTATTAAAAGTGATTTTATTTATGTATTTACCCCTCTAGCTCTCTAAAATTTTAAATTAGCTTGAGATGTTGCCTTCTATTTAATTGGCAACAAAATCAGAAACATACAGTGAAGGATGACATATAATCAAATGTTATTTTATTACACATATTTTAACTGACAAATTCTTCTAATCAGAACATAAACCCATTTATACATGTAGACTTTATAATCCATTTTTATTTAATATTCTGCTTAGTCAGTAGTCATTTTAAATAAATACATTAACTATGTTTGCTACCTAACAGGTGTTGATGAAATGCCTTTTCATTCAATAGTGACTACCAGTAACTAAATAATCACTGTTAGTTTTGCTTATCATAACAGCTGAACACATGAGACTGTGTTATAGAAATATCTGCGGCACATCAGTAAAAAGGGTCAAAGCAGATTCATCAGGCTATAACATTATCGTTAGATTTTACTTAATTTCGTTAAGATTTGAGTTGCTATGGAAACAGAGCTAAATGTCAGTGGAATATAGCAATCAAATTTCCTTCTTTAGACAGCTAATTTATAAACATGTACTTCATAGCTGATTAATTGCTAATGTCAGACCTTTGGAAAATCTGTCTTTGCTTAGTATTCCATAAGGTATCAACAAGAAAACACATCAATAAATAAAATGTAGAATTATGTTAACTAACATGTAAAATATCATGCACTATGCTGGATTTTCGTCCAGTGGACCTCTGGGTGCAAATTTGTAATCATTGCCTTTCTACCGCATTTGAAGTAAAACACCATGACATATTTAATGGAATGATTTCACATTTGTTCTATAGTATGTTTAATTTAAGGTAGTAGCTATATCCAGTTACATTTCATGAATGCATCTAAAGTTAAAATTTCTGTACAATGTAGAATGCTCGGATGATAAAAATCAACATATTTAACAAGGAAGGGACAATTTACCATCTACTAGTATTTAATTATGTCCTTGGGTACAAATTAAATTATTTTCCTTCTTAATAAATCCTTTTATTGACTTTGGATGGATGAAAAGCTGAATTGAGGCAGCTGTTCATTAACTTCAATCAAGATAAAGTCTGGACATCACTCACACGTCCCTTTCCACAAGCTCAATGCTGAAACGATTATTGGTCTACTTCTGTGAAAAAAGAAAATGGTGAAATACCCATAATATCCAATTCTAGTGTAGCCCTATGTCAGAACATTCAAAATACATACATTCTTCTCAGATGGGGTGGAGTATAAGGCAAAATTAACTGAATCAAATATATATATCTATATATATATATATATTTTTTTTTTTTCAAATAATATCAGGGGTGCACTCAAAGGTCTTGTGAATATGAATAGTGATTTTAATTTTAAAAAATTACAACTGTAATACAATCACCGTATCAAGGGTCTTTCTCAAGATATACATATAAATGCAGTGAGGGGAAAAGTATTTGATCTCCTGTTCATTTTGAACGTTTGCCCACTGACAAAGAAATGATCAGTCTATAATTTTAATGGTAGGTGTATTTTAACAGTGAGAGACAGAATTAAAAAAAAAAAATGCAGAAAACCGCATGTCAAAAAAGGTATGAATTGATTTGCATGTCAATGAATGAAATAAGTATTTTACCCCTTCAACCAATACATACACACAATTAAGAGACACTGTGTGGCATTGTCTACACTTTACAGACACAAACCTGGGGAGGTAAAGTGACAGCCCTGGTGCAAGCCATTATCTTTCTTGTCCCTATGGGTACATACCTGATAGTGAGGAATTTTCTCTTTTAGGAATTTTCCCTTGCCATGGTCTTTTGTACCAATTTGCAACTCTCTGTACTTCTCCTTGTCCCCAAACCAGCTGGCGAGGAGCCCCCAATGAACGATACAAGACAAGGTTCAAAGTGACTTCTCAGCATTTAATGAGCTGTGTAACAGGTTATATACAGCAGGAAACAGGGGTGGTCTTACAAGTATTATCCAATCCTAACAAAATCATCTATCTTATCTTAACATCTTAACCTATAGCCAGCTTGCAGGTGTATCTTCATGTTCGGGCCTCGCCCAAAGCTAAGTTTCACTATAACTATGCACTTCAAACTAATATGCATGCACACTACGAATTAAAGATATTTACTACTCGGTTCTAAAGTACACATTACTATGTTCTGTCTGTCGGATTATAAAATAAGGCCGACAGACAGAAGAATACAGGATATAACACCTATTACTTGTTACATGATGTTCTACAGCTCTTAACACCTATTACCTTGGGTCAGTATACCCTTGGGTGGATATGGCGGAAGCACATCTCCAACCAGAGAGAATACCTCTCTACTCACTACTGTTCTTTTCTTCCTTCACTATTTTCTTTTTTTTTCAGAATGTCATTTATAGCTCCCCGTAATTGTTACATACAAAGGGTAATTTATGGTTAAATGTCAAACTGTGAAGCACAAGAATACAAAATGCAATCAAGATTCATTAATCTATAGTATAGGGGATGGCATCTATAGGCACCAGACTCTTTGGTGAGCTATAGACAGTGCTAGAGGTCAGCACACAGCTTCTAACTAGACATTTAAATGCCTATAACTACATTGCGATGTAGTTATAGGTATTTCCTCACACCAGGAAAACCAGGTATCAGAAGATACCTGGGGCTCTCCCTTCTCATCTATGGCCATTTTTAATGGCCCCTGACTGACAGATGAGCTTTATGCAGAACTCATAGTGAGATTGGCATGCAACACTTTTAATGAGTTTTTAAATCCCTATAGACTGCAATAAAGTGTGGGTAGGGTTAAATCACCTCTGTCAGCTGGCACCATTTTTAGTGGTCCCAAACTTTTTGATGAGCTGCATGTGGTGCTGAAATTCATCACTGCATATAGCCCTTTGATTCCATAGAGTGATCAACCTCAGCACCAGTTATTTTCTCACTGGGTCTAGTCATTGGGAAACCCTCATGCCACAATCGCAATTTTATTGGTGCTGGGCTTTATCAATAACCCAGCACTGATCACAATGCATTGGGCATACTATATTCAGTGGAAAAGATATGAGCCTGTCATACAAAAAATAGCTAGTAGATGGCAGCAGCATATCGCTCTCTGTTTACTTTAAAATTTGGAAAGGGAAACATTTGGTATTATGATTACATTAAAAATTAAGATTAGGTTTAGAATAAATACTGGATTTATATTTAAAATGGGTTTAGAACAAATTTTGGGATTAGGATTAGGTTTCAGATTAGGGTTTGGATTGGGATTAGGGCCAACAAAGGAATTCCTCTGCTGATTTAAGCAGAGGGAATCATTGAAACACCTTTTAGAGGGTTAGGATTAAAGTGAGGATTAAAGTTGCAATTATGATTATGAACAGGATTAGGATATGGGTAAGGATTAAAGTGAGATTTATGATTATAGTGTTAGATTTGGAATTAGGATTTGGTTTAGAATTAGGATTCTGTCTAAAATTAAGGATTTAAACTGGGATTAAGATTGTTACTTTGCAAAGTACTTTGTTGTACTCAGGAGATGTAGCTGTATTTACCTAATTTTAGGACATGCTAAAGAACAGATGATTATTATTATGTCCTAATATGTAAAACCATATAATTCAATGAGGATGTGATTACTTTTTCCCATGACTATATATGTATATATGCATGAAGCCCCTCTGGGCCACTGCCAGCCTTTCTAGTGAAGAAGGGACCCAGGAGACACATGCTTGCACCTTTGGAAGGTCCTCTCGCAAGCCCAGGCTGTCAGAGCATTGCCTCCGGTTACCATGGCAACACTTTAGGGAATGTAGTGTACCCCGTCCCTAGTCTCAGATAAAAGGCAGGGAGTATGAAATAAAATACAATTTTACCAAACCTGTTCTGCCCACACAGCCCTTTCCTATTCCTATTCTACTTCAAAAACACTGCATCCTCCACACAAACACACACAATCCACTTGCTACACACACTGCATCCACTACACCAAGAGAGCATCCACTACACAAACACTGTATCAGCTACACACACACACTTTATCCACTGCACAATCACACTGCATTCACTGCACACACTAAACCCACTACAAAGAAACTGCATCAACTTTACACACAAATACACACACGCTCTGCATCCATTATACACACACAGACTGCATCCACTATATATATATATATATATACACAGACACACACTGCATCCACTATACACGCAAACATGCATACACTGCATACACTTCACACACAAATACACAGGTGTGGTGGAATCTCGGTAAAAATAAATTTAGTAGGCCGAGATTACCACGTGGCATGTGTACGTGCATATGCTGACGTATCGATCAGTTGGTTGCACGAGGCAAGATACGATCAGTAGTGTACGGAGCATGTGCAAGAATACAGGATGTAGTATTCCCCTCCTCCATTGTGCTGGACAAGCCATGCGGTAAAGCAGGAAGTTAATTCTTATTTGTAATGATTGGTCAAGAGAATGTGCGGGTGGAGCTTAATATGGGAGGAGTTATGTGCCTATATAGGGAGCCTGCACTATTGTTCAGGGCTCAGAACTTGCTGTATTTTTGGTGACATTAGTCCCTCTGAGTCCCGATCGGTGATCCAATAAAGAATCTCTTCCTTCCTGAAGAAACCTGTGTCCATCCCTCTGTGCTTTGCTTCCGTCAGTTTCTCCGGTATCATTTGGTGCATTGGCCGGGAATCTCATCGCTCAACGGTAGCTGAGAGGCAGAGGCGTGAGACGGTCTATCTTTGCCCACGTTCTCTACGGCTGCACCCCTGAACTTCTGCGTGGACCTCCCTTCGTCTCGGCGCCACTGGTCTGTTGTCCAGGAGATCATCGGCCTCTACGTAAGAAGTGCTGGGGTGTCCCCGTCGATGAGTGTGAACTCAGGTTCAGGAACGAGGAGGTAAGACAACTGCTGTTTTAGACGGCAGACCCACTAGGGGTATACCGATTGTGCGGTAGGCCCAAAAGGGGTTTAAATCTGTGTATGGAATCTGCCCCCTCTGTCGGAGGGAAGGAGCGAAGGCGCACCGCTCGATCGAACGCTCTTTAGTAAGACCGTTTGATCTGGTTAGTCAGGCGGGGTCCTGTGTAAATAGCCCTAGCCGGACACCGGTGTCTTGTCTAGACTAGCGTTCTAGGGTGTATATTACGTTCGCTAGGTCGGAGGGACCGGGAGACTAAGCGGCGCCTGTGTAAATTCGGTTCGCTAGCTCTCAACCTATCTTGGCTAAGTGGGAAGGCGTGTAAATTTGGAACCCACTAGACTTTTGATAGAGTAAATAGACTAGAAGGGCAATTTTGTAAATTTCGCCCTCTAGTTCGCTATATGTGGTGTTTGGGCAGTGTGGCTAACCAAAACGGGTGTATATAGTTTTAGGTAGTCCATTCAAGGTACTGGCCAATAGTTTAGTTGGGATTGTAAATGTGTTAAAGATTGTTAGTAAAGTGTATATCTTGTTAGATAGCGCGAGCTCAGCCGTCTAGCGAGAGTGTTAATAGTGTGTTGCTGTATCATAGTGCACGGTACCATAACCCTGTATATTTACTGACACTGTATATAAGTACTAATCATTGTCGTCTATTGCATGTTTAACACCGTAACCACTAATAATTGTATTGTGACCTTAAATTGTGCTTTGACCTATGCTAACCGTACTGTAACCGATACTAGTAAAAGACGATGTTACTGGGGTGTGTTATAGACGGGTAATTCATATATAGAGAATTATAGCGTGGGTGACTGTATAGTTTCGCCAAAGGGCATAATATTGATTATTTAGTGACTGGTGTAACAGCTGTGTGTGTACGGGAATTCCCTGAGTGATTATTGTGTTATTGTGTACGTTTCACTTGGTAACTGTACCACGTGGTGCTGTTGCCAGAGGAAACGGGTGTGACTGTTGAATAAGAACGCGTGCATAGTATTCGTTGTCAACGACGCTCCATTGATAAGTATGGGCGCGTCAGAGTCAACGATTTCGGATCCCTTAGGTTGTATGGTAAAGAATTTTAAAAAGGGATTCAAAACATGTGATTTTGGGGTTAAAATGTCTCCTGTACGTTTGGTCACTTTGTGCACTAGGGAGTGGCCTACTTTGGTTGCGGCATGGCCGCCGCGTGGCAGTTTGGATCCAACCCTGGTACAGCGTGTACACGTGGCTGTATCAGGTAGGCCTGAACTTTACGGACAGTTTCCATACATTGATTGTTGGGGCAGGCCGTAAACGACTCGCCAAAATGGATCCGGATATGCCACGAGGAGCAATGTCGCCTCATGGTGGCCAGGACTTGTTTGTCCACTAGGACTGGTGTTAGGCCCATTTTGGACACGCCCCCTGAGTCCGAGATCCCTTTGCCGCCTCCTTACTTTCCTTTAAGAGGAAGTGACGCGAATGCAGGAAGCTCTGCACCCCTTCCCTATTGCCCCCATCCACTTCCGCTTCCTACTCCAGTACAGAATCCACCCCCCCTCGTATTAAAACTCCCCTTCCGGAACCAGGACCAACCCCCATTAGATTTGAATATCCTGATTTGGCGCCACTTCAAACTTCCGGTCAAGCTTCTTCTAGCTCGGCTCGGAGTATACTATTCACTAACTTTTCCCAAAATCAAGTTCCCACATCCTCATGCCCTATTACCTCTCGACCGGAACCTTTAACTGACGCCCCTCCACGTAGCCCCATACTAACCCGACAACTGACCGGTACCCAACAATTAAAACATTATCAGATGCCTCTTCGTCTGAATCCTGGGTCAGCCTATATCGATGCCGCAGGTCAAATGGCACATGCTGACCCAGTCTTCGTATATGTCCCGTTCACGACTACCGATCTCTTGAATTGGAAGACCCACAATTCCTCGTACACTGAGAAACCACAAGCTATGACCGATCTGTTCACCTCGATAGTTCAGACACATAACCCGACATGGGCTGATTGCCAGCAGTTATTAATGACATTGTTCAATAATGAGGAAAGGACAAGGATTAACCAAGCGGCCATTAAGGCGCTAGAGGAGAGAGCCCGCGCTTTAAATCAAGCCAATCCGGCAGCATGGGCCGCAACACATTACCCTAACACCGATCCTGACTGGAATGTAAATGGCGCAGATATGGCTCAACTTAAAGCCTATAGAGATGCTATAATTGCTGGCATGAAAGCCGGAGGGAAGAAAGCTATTAACATGTCGAAGACAGTTGAGGTGATTCAGAAAAGTGATGAAGCGCCCAGTGTCTTTTATGACCGATTATTGGAGGCATACCGCTTGTATACCCCCTTTAATCCGGAAGACGCTGATAATTCCCGAATGGTAAACTCCGCCTTTGTCAGCCAAGCTTACGGAGATATTAAGCGCAAGCTACAGAAATTAGAAGGGTTTGCAGGTATGTCTATCACCCAACTAATGGAGGTAGCGAACAAAGTATATATGAATAGGGAAACAGAAAGTAAGAAAGAGGAAGAGCGCAAGATGCGTAGAAAGGCAGATATGCTAGCGGTAGCGATCGCAGGCGTAGATAGACGGGGCCCAGATAGAGGCGATGGTAGA